TCAGAGCACTCGTTTGAGACTCCTGGTGCTCCGCTTCCCCTCCAGCTCCCTGCTAACGTGCCTGGGAAAGCACAAGTGCTTGGGGCCCTGCACCCACGTGGGAGACCTGGATGGGTTCCAGGCTCCTGACTCCAGCCTGGTCCAGGCCTGGCCACTGAGCCTTCTGGGGAGCGAACGAGCTGACAGATGTTCTGACTCTCCTTCTCCCTGTGTCACTTTACTTTTCAAATAAAATAAATAAATAAAAATAAACCCACTAAGTGAGTTGCGAGATGACAGGGGATTTGGAGATGGCAAGGTGGGCATGAAGGTGGGGGAGGGGGGGTAACTTGTGTGGCGTTTTTCCTGTGGGCACCAGAGTTGCCAGAGGGCTTCTGGGAAGGACACTAAACAGAATGATCTTCTCTCTCTCTCTCTCTCTCTCTCTCTCGTAACTCAAATACATTTTTTTAAATGCGGGTGGGGATGGTATCCATCCAGGCAATATGATTTGGACAAAGGAGGTGGAAGCGACGGACGGGAGACACCATAGAGGAGGGAAGGAAATGGACCAGAGCTCCCATCAAGAGTAGAGTGCAGGCAGGGGGCGGGGTGGGGGGGTGTGGGCAAGGGGCAGCTGCCTCCCAGGTGAGGGCTTCCTGGGGGATTGCAGCTTCCCTGATCAAGCGCTGTCCTAGAAGTGAAGAAGAGGCATCCGGTGCGAGGTGCCTGGGTGAGCTGTTGCCTCTACCTGTGGAGCCCACGGGGTGATCCGGGCTCCAGAGTCCGTCAACGTAGAGGCAAAAAGCCAGGCGGTGCTAGTGACAGTTGGGAGGTAGAAGCTGGGACCGGACGAGGGTATTTGCTGTTATGAAAAGGGGTGGAGATTGGTACAGCCAAAAGGAGCCCAAGAGGACATGAGGGGACTAACTGTCCCCTAACTAACTGGAAGAGAAAAAGGACATGAGGTTACAAACTAAATAGACGTGGGCTTTCGTTTAGAAATAAGTCTCAGTTACGGGCTCATTCTGCATGCCCAGGGCACCCTACCAACATAAGATGTTGATAACGGGAGGACTGGGGGTGGGGCTCTCCCTGTGCCATCTTTGCCAAGTTTTCTGTACTAAAGCCATTCCGAATAAGAGATGCGTTTAAAAGGAGAGCATCCGGCTTGGTAAGAATTATACCATGTTCTTAAGGCAGGGAAAGATAACTCGCATAAATTCTCTCTGACGCGTGAAGAAGCCTTTTCGTTGCCCGGTGAACCACAGCTCTGTTCCCTTGGAGATCTCAGCCGGGCTGAGCCCCGACTCCCCCAGAGCGCTCCCCGGGAAGAGCACATCCCCCCGGGCGCCTCTCTGCGGAGTGACTCACGCAGTGAATCACCGGTCAGGACGAGCTGCTCCCTGAGTCTGGCCCGCCTCGAGGGCACGTCAAGGTAGCAGCACTGACACCCTTCAAGTCTACCCTAATCCTTCTCTGACACACCAGCGACGGAGCACCTCCCGCTAGACTGTAGCAACCGCACACTTGCAAACGTGGAATAAGCCGATGTTGCCCTGAACTAGGGCTGTGATTGACGTTTAGAGCGAGACATTTCGGCACTGCGTGTGACAGCTTCCCTGGGCACTGTGACAACCAAAAAACACGCCACACATTTCCCTTCATGCCCAACTCCCAGCCCCGCCTAGACCACCCCCAGGGACCCCTGCAGAAAATTGCTGGGGTCTGGAAATTAAACTGGGAGGGGAAACAATGAGACGCGCTGAAAAGTAGGAAAACAGACACTCCGGAAAGACGTTAACGCCACACAGGATGAAACTGTAAAGAACTAAATACACACGCGGGTATCAGTGAAGCTGGAGGGATCTAAATCAGCGGGGGGAGGGGGCGTGCAGCACTGGCAGTTCCCGGTGGAGGGTCTGTGCTGGGCTCCATTTGCCAGCTGTTACCAGTGGGGGAAGGGTACCTGGGATCTTCCTGTCTTATTTCTCAACACCTGCCTATGAATGTGCGATTATCACAATAAAAATTTCAACTGAGAAAGAAACTTATGGGCAGCCCTTTTTTGTTACTATTATTTGAAAGGCGGAGTAAGAGAGAGAGAAGGCCGGCGCCATGGCTCACTAGGCTAATCCTCCACCTTGCGGCACTGGCACACCGGGTTCTAGTCCCGGTCGGGGCGCCGGATTCTGTCCCGGTTGCCCCTCTTCCAGGCCAGCTCTCTGCTGTGGCCCGGGAGTGCAGTGGAGGATGGCCCAAGTGCTTGCGCCCTGCACCCGCATGGGAGACCAGGATAAGCCCTTGGCTCCTGGCTTCAGATCAGCACCATGCACCGGCCGCAGCTTGCCAGCCACGGCGGCCATTGGAGGGTGAACCAACGGCAAAAGGAAGACCTTTCTCTCTGTCTCTCTCTCTCACTATCCACTTTGCCTGTCAATAAATAGAGAGAGAGAGAGAGAGACATCTTCCATCTTCTGATTCACTTCCCAAGTGGCCACAACGGCCACGGCTGAGCCAAGCTGAAGACGGGAACCAGGAGCTTCTTCGGGGTCTCTTGTGTGTGTGCAGCAGCTCAAGGACTTGGGTCATCTCCCCCTGCTTTTCCCAGGCACATTAGCAGGGAGCTGGATCAGAAGTGGAGCAGCCAGGACACAAACAGGTGCCCATGTGGGATGCCGGCGTCACCTGATGCACCACCCTGATCACTAACGCTCATCTCCCCGCTGAGAGCCTCAAACCTTCCTGCCGCCATCCCACACCATGCACTGAACAAAGGTCTGCTTCTAGACCTGGGGAAACCAGAGATCAAGTCTCTGTTCTCACTGGCCGTGTGACCTTGCATCAGGGACCTAACCCCTGTGATCTACAACTGACACATGGGGATGACAGTACCAAACAAGGCCAGAATTCCTGCTTCTCCCACCCTTTGGTTGACAAACTTTGTCTGAAGTTCTAGGGCCCCATTTTCTCCATGTAGCACCTTCAGCTCCTTTGTACCCCATTTCTGGCCCTGCACCTGCTCTGAACCCCCCCCCCAACTTCCTGTGCAGCGTGCACTCAGATTTCCTATCTGCCGTGCACCGGCAGAAGCCACGGGCAAACGTGCAGGCCGAGCTGAGCTGAGCCAAGCCAAGCTTCCCCACCCCGCCCGGGGCAGCTGGCTGCTCACTTCCTGCCCCCACCCCCTCCCCAGGGTGGCCAGCTGCAGGCCATAAACAAGCCGGCACCTGCGGGTCTGTTTCAGGACGCTTGGTCACCAAAATAACTTGCAGGGCAAGGGTTGGTCTGATCTCTGGTCTCCAGGGATTGGCCTTCCAGCCCGCCCCTCCGGCTGTCCCACCCACAGAGTTGCAAAGGTCGGGCCTATTAACGTCCACCCTGACTTAGGATGTCCTGGGGTCAAGCAATGCAGAAACCAATGGGCTGGTCCTCTCACCAGGCACTGCAGGGCAGGACCCCGAGCTCCAGCAGGAGCTGAACACGTCAGGCCTGTGTGTGCCTGTGGCCAGGGGCAGGGGGAAGGCTCGGCATGCAGGGGACAGACTTGGGAGTCCCCTGAGGACCGTGCCACCCTGATCGTCCCTCTGGGTGTCCTGAGAGCTGGACACGGGCTGCAGTGGCAACATGCTGTCCCCTGAGCAGGAGAGAGAAGAATGAGACCATGTCCAGCCCTTTACCATCCACGTTCCAGCCCTGCTAAGACCAGGCCCACATCCTGTTTCTCCATAGCGGGGCCCATCCAAGGTCCCAGGTGAACCTCTTGTCTACATCCGAGGACAGGAACCAGCCTGGGATCCTGGCAGGCACCCCCAGTGTAGAAGCCTTGGCATGTGTGGAGCCCACACCCATCCAGCCCTCTGCTGAGCCTGCTCTTGGACCCAGAAGGCTGATCCCAAGGGGACCCCTGACCCGTGACCCCCATACCTCCTGTGAAAGGGCTGAATCATGGCAAAATCGCCAACCTGCTTTTACCCCACTCCCCTAAAGCAAGGGCCAGAGCCTGCACGTCCCCCAGGCCATCTCTGCCATCAGAGTAGGGACACCAACCAGGAAGGAGCCCACCTCCATTATCCCCTCCCCCCACCAGCCCATGTCAGCTCCACCCTTCTCCCTTCCCTACGAGTTTCAGGGAAGCACCCTAACCAGGAAGCCCAAAGAATGACCCCTTTGGGACAACACATGCCCAGGCTGGGCTCGCCCACAGGGTGTTGAGCCACCAGGCCGAGCTAAGCCGTGGAATTCTCCTTCCGGGAACCATGACTGCGGCGTTTGCTGCGGAGTCCCAGGAACGCCCTCCAGAGAGCCGGCCCCTGTGCACCCGGCTGCGGCCCTGCGGCTTCTTTGGTCTCTGCCCAGCCCTGGCCCAGCAGGTCTGTTCCTCCTTCAGCTCGGCTGTCGGACTGCCCCAGGGCCTCTCACCCTTCTCCCCACAGGGAGGTCACCAAGGCCAATCTTGTCGCCCAAATCCAACAGAAACTCCGGTGAGGACACAGAGCTAAAACAGGGATGTGGGCCCCAAAGGGGAACAACAGAGCATTTCTGCCCACGCCTATTCTGGGCCCCTTCCCCTCCGGGGGTCTTCTTGGAGCCCTGCACCTTGGTCTGCTCAGGGAATTAGCATCCTGCCTCCCCCACTATGCCTTTCCAGAGAGACAGCTTAGACCAGGACCCCCAGGGAAGCCGCAGCCACACCAAGGCCACACCAAGGCCACACCAGGTGGACACGCGGTACCTTCTGGCCTTGAGGGGCCAGCGCTGGCCATCTGGGTGGGGGGCTGGCCTCCCTTCTAGATGCTGCCCCTTGCCTCCCCACACACACACTCCAGGGACCCTAAAGGCAGCCCCTATACGGCACCAGCTCTGTGTGCCCAGCAAGCCAGCCCGCCGCACAGCAGGGGAGGACAGACACACTTTATTTCTGGGAGGACGGCTCCTGCCTGGCATTCAGGAGGAGGAACTCTACAGGGCTCCCGGCACCCGCACCGGGACGACAGGCGTCCAGGACGTCCGGAGCCGGCGCGGTCAGTCATCGTTGACGGCCTCTTGCTTCTTTCCTTCCTCGGTTTCTCCTGTGTCTTTCAGATTTTGGCGAGCAAACTCCTCGAAAACCAGGTTTTCATCCTGAAAACTAAGAGAAGGGGGACAGCATTTTGATCACGGCTCGCTCTTTGATGCTGAAGACGAAATCTGGAGCAAGAAGAGATCTTTGATCTCTTCTTGTTTGCTTTTGCACCAGTCAAGGCTTTCCTCGAGATGGAACAGGGAGCCACACGGCTTTCCTCATCAGACAGAGAGTAAACCCGAGCACCCACAGGGTGAGCAGACACACCCAGGGCGACTATGCGTGCCCTCGGGACGTGCCCGGGGCCAGAGGGACTCAGAGGGGCTTGCACGGGAGGGAAAGGTCAGACATGGATCTCAGGGCGGCACTGCAGTGGCTTACCTTTCCTTGGCTGTAGGCCCGGGGCCGGGAGGCAGAGAGAGAAAGAGAGAGCGAGCGAGCGGTTAGCGTCAATGCTGCAGCACGGCGTTGCCATCTTTAGGTAGCTGAGGCGTGAGGCCTGGAGTTCACCATCACTGCACTGCACTTGTCTTTCCCACCCAGAGCACTTTCTCCCTGCACCACACCCTGTACCAGATGCCCCAGCCCAAACCATCTCACCTCTAGAAACTCACCCCCAAGGGGGACGCGCCTGTCGTCAAAGGACTTGTGCCCAGGGGTCCTCAGGACCCCATCAGGTCACCGCATACCCCCGTCAGGTCTAGCACTGGACGTGTACCAGTGCCCCCAGGGGCGCCGTGTGCCCTGAAGCCTGGGGACCACCACAGCCCCTCGGGTTTTAGTTGCTGTACGTGCATTGATCTTTTGGGGTTGGCTTACGTTTCCTGCCCATACATCACGTGGAGCAGTTCGAGCGAGTGTTCGGCCCAGCTGATAAAGTACTGGTGTGGTTAAAGGACTACCGAGGTTTGGGGGGAGCGCAGCAGGGGTGGGATGGTGAGCCGCAGCTCTTGTGTCTCAGGTCCACCCTGAAGCCAGCAGCGGACAGCGAGCGTCTGGGAGGGCCACCAGGCTCTAGAGAGGATGATTCGACCACACATCCCCTCGCAAGGAATGCTGGTGTGCTTAGCAGGGCAAGTGCACCCTCGGCCTTGAAGAGGCAGACACGGGGAGGGACCATAGGGCCCCCTGGGCCCCACAGAGGTGCTCTCGATGGGGCCGTGCAGACCGGGCAGCGCGTCCACAGCGTTTATCAGCCGCCCAGCGCCTGGGCCCTGGGCCTTCACTCCAGCTCAGGCTTTCTCCTGCCCACACTGTCGAGCGCCAGGAGCCAGGCAGGGAAGAGAGGAGCTCTGAGACTGAGTGGCTCAGAAATCTCTGGAAACCAGCACGTCGCGACCATTGGGCGATTTGTCCTAATTCTTGCTGCCTGAAATTTCACACTGTTTCCCCTCAACATGGTGAGACACTCGCTATGAGGGACGTAATGACTGGAACATGAAAACGTATGGGGAAGAAGAATAACTCCACTACTCCCAAACGAGGCTGTGAAGTCTGCTCAAACTTCCCGGAAACAACCCAACACCAGCTATGACACCTGCCCTGGTGACTGCCTTTCTAATGTCCTTGAGAAGAACCAGAAAGCACCCTCAGCTCACAGTTTAAAAAAAGGGTACTTTACTGAATTAAGAACGTATGGCTGGACTGTATTTTTTCCCCAAGGGGAGGTTTTGGCAAAGTGTTCTGAGGGTTTGAATCTAAATTATTTGGAAAAGATGCTTTAACACAAAATATTTTGAGACAAAAACTAAAATAAAAAGAGGCGTTCATTCTCATATTTAAACGTCATTTCATTAGAAAAGGCTTTTATAAAATACGAGAAAAACAGACCCTACTTACTTATATCACTGGTGCTTAAAATAGTCTCTATTTAAAAATATTTAGTTATTGGGGCCAGCGCTGTGGTGTACCGGGTAAAGCCACAGCCTGTGGTGCCGGCATCCTACATAGGACCCAGCTGCCCCACTTCCGATCCAGCTCCCTGCTAATGCTCTTAGGAAAGCAGTAGAAGACGGCCCAAGTGCTTGGCTCCCTGCACCCATGTGAGAGACCCAGAAGAAGCTCCTGGCTCCTGGCTTCGGATTGGCCCAGCTCCAGCCATTGCAGCCATTTGAGAAGTGAGACAGCGAATGGAAGCTAGCTAGCTTTTTCCTTTTCCTTTCTTTTCTTTTCTTTTTTCTTCTCTCTCTCTCTCTTCCTTTCCTTCTCTTTCTCTCTCTCTCTGCCTCTCCTCTGTAACTCTTTCAAATAAATAAATCAATCTTTTTAAAAATTTAGCTATTGAGAGTTCTTTTTTTAAATTTAAAGTTTTTATTTGAAAGGCAGAGGCAAAGAGAGGTATCTCCTATCCACCAGCTCACTCCTCAAATTCCACCACAGCCAGGGCTGCACCAGGCCAAAGCTAGGAGCCAGAAGTCCACCTGGATCACCCATGTGGGTGGCAGAGGTCCAAGTCCTGCTGCCTCCCGGGTCTGCATTAGCAGGAAGCTGGCTTGGAAGCAGAGGAGCTGGGATGGGGACCAGACACTCCCGTGTGGGATGTGCTTTTAACCGGCGGCACCACCACCCTCACCCAGCTGAGTTCTGATTCTGGCAGGCTGCTTTTCCTTCCTGCCACTAAGGTGCCTGAACACCTGGCGGAGACTTTTTCTCAGAATTTTGAGATTCCTATCTCCAGTAGCTATGCTGCTTCCACTGCCTTGTCTACATTTCTCCAGAGTTCTGTTGAGTTCTAATTCGCATACCGTAATGTGCCCCCACTGTTGCACACGGTGCGGTAGATTTTGCTGTGTTCACCGAGTTGCACAACCTTTGCTTCACTTCACGGACACACAGGAGCCATGAATTTTCAATCCAAATGAACTTGGTGCTTTGGCCCTCTCTCCTAGTATGCTCTGTGTTCTCATCACAACCACTGCTGTCAAAAACACTTCTCGTCTTCTAACTGTTGATGCTAGCAAATGAAGCATGAGGCCTTTTGTTTCCAAATGAAATGCAAAAGCCTTGGGCACCCAGAGTGATTTGTCACCTAAATCATCTTCCACATCTCCCAACCTAAAAGCAAGACTCTTGACCAACAGAGCAACTGCCTTCCCATCACTCCTAATAAAACCTCATGCGATCGGCCCCTCCCAGAGCCAGGCTGCCTGGCCCTGCACACACACACTGCCAGTGGGCAAGCCACCTGGTGCAGAACAGGGCAGCCGTCCCATCCAGGCTGGCCGTCACCCTGCAGGTGACACCTGGCCACGCGCACGCTCAGGGGCGTGGTCAGGAAAGACTAGGAAGGAAGAAGTAATGAATCCCGGGTGGAATGACTGACCTGGGTCCTCAGGCTGGGGGTGCATGAGGCGGAACGGCACCTCTGTGGCCACTTCACTGGAGAAAAGAGAAACACAAGTGAGTGAGAACACACACGCGTGCACACACAAGCACACATGTGTGCACGCACTCACACAATACACACAAGCACACATGTGCGCACGCACGCACACGTGTACACACACACACAACTGTGAATCCCACAGCAAAGCACTGTGGCTGCAGAGATTCGGCTCCAAACTAAAAGACAATTCACTGGAATTAAAAACAAAACAGAACCGAAATCAAGAAGTGGTACAGTAGGAATGTTAAACGTATTCCCTGGAATGTGGTCCAGAAACGCCACTGGGGCACGGCTGAGGCCGCCGGTGCTTTCAGGCTCCCAGGCTCCCATGTATTACTGTGCCGACAGGGCTTTGTGGGTGAGTGGAAGTGAGGTCCTGGAGCCAGGGCAGCTTTCAAGGGTATTCTGTGCACCAGCGTGCGCCATTTGGAATCTACATGAGGCCGGTGGGCTGTGCCCGGGGCAGTGTCTTGCCAACTAGCAGAACACAGAGGCGCAGAGTCCACTGACTTCCAAACTGGGCTCTGGGACAACGCAGAAAGGGCTGGGAGGTGGCGGGGAGGGAATTCAGGTAGGCGAGCAGAAGGGAAAGTCAGAGACAGGCAGAACGGGAAGGTGGGGCGAGGGTGAGAGCCAGGGCTGCTCCTTGCTCCCCAGGATGTCCTGCCTCCTCCCCAGGGCTGACCGCGGCCAGTGCGCTCTGCTTACCACCACCCAGTGCACACGGGCTCTAGGAGAAGAGGTGTGCCCTGGGTTCCAAGAGAGGAAGGGGATGGTAAGAGCTGGGGTGCAGAAGTACGTCAGGTCAAGTTCAACATTTCTTAACTTGCTGCTGCTTTCGTGTGTGATTTAAAAGGCAGCCACCACTATTCGCCATTGCCAAGAGCTAGAAGCAACCCAGACATCCGTCAGCAGATGAGTGGGCAAGGGAGCAGTCCTCTGCCATGAGAAGGCCTGAGGCACTGACACAGATGAGCCAGGGACATTGTGCTGAGGAGGGCGACCGACCACGAGAGCCACTGTCACTGTTTGACTCCATCTATGCGTGCAGATCCGTGGAGACACACGGAGGACAAGGGGCCGCCAGGGGCTACAGGAAGGGAGAATGACAGTGACGATCTAAGGGGTGTGAGGTTGGAACTAGAGAGGGGCGCTGGCTGTGACATTATAGACATTATAGACATGCTCAATGCCACTGAACAGTGCACTCTAAAATAAATCAAACGGTAAAATATTACATCATGTGTATTTTAACAAGAGCTGCGTGGAGCGTACCAGGATTCTGGCTTTGCGTGTGTATGTGCGTGTGTGTCCCTGCCCAGTGCAGGCCTAGCATTGGTGTCAAAGAAACGGCCCAGGCTCAGGCCAGCCAGCCGAGGCTTCAGGGCGCGCCGGGAGGCAGAGGCCTGGTTGAGCACGCGGCCTCCGAGCCGGGCTGCTCAGAAAGCAGCTTTCTCAGGGACTGCTTGGGAAGCCCGGCTTCACTGTCTTCCATATCCTGGAATCGGGCGGAGGAAGGAAGGAGAAGAGGCTTACCTGGAGGTGAGGTCTCCCAGCAGGCTAGGAAAGAAAAGCAATGTCTGTGGTGACTCCACGGCAGGGCTAGGCTTCATTTCCCAGCATTCAGAGCGGGACGTGCCGCGTTCTCTAACGCACAACTTCCCTCAACGTTCGGCTTCAGTTCTGCCCTCTGCTTGTGGCTTCATCTCCTCCCCGAGAGGAAGCACTCAGGTCCAGCCCTCACGTTCAAGGTTAAGCCACAGAACAGAGCTTCTTGGCCACAGTCGGTATCCACAGGGCCCGGCTTCCAGGAAACCCCCACACCAGGAACACCACCATCAGGGGAGGCTTGAATCCCTTCTATAAAATACTGTAGCATCTGTGTAAAACCTACACAATCCTCCCTGTACAAGGGCCATCACCCGCTGCCTCCCAGGTGCCTGAGCAGGGAGCTGGATTGGAAGAGGAGCAGCTGGGACTCCAACCGGCACTCTGATACGGGATGCTGGCGCCATGCATGGCTTAACTCGTGGCCCCACAATGCCGGCCCTCTTACAATAAGAGGGATCACTTCTAATAGCTACTAAAATGTAAATTCTATGTAAGTGGTTGTTACACTGTGGTTGAATCTGTGGGGGTGGAAGCTGCAGAAATGGAGGGCCGACCGTGCCCTCCTCACTTTTCTCACTGCTAAAAGGAACTCCATCCTCTCGGGGAAAAGGTAAGAAAGCGCCATCCACTTTGATTAACACAACAAACACAAACCTCCACAGGCAAAATGGACCAATGCTCTATTTTCTTTCCCTGGCCAAAATTTGGAGAACTCTCCCTACTTAAAACGTGGAAGGCATACATGCATGGCTTGCCTTGGACGGCTCAACTATCCAAGATTCATCAAGGTAAAAGGCCAGAGTCCATGGCAACGGAGACTAAAGCAATAGAAGGAATTGATCACATAAAAAAAAGGGCAACTTTCTCCTTTCCTCCGCCATCGTGGTGGGTGTCCCTGATTCTTCCTCGCCATGTCTTCTCACAAGACCTTCAGAATCAAGAGGTTCCTGGCCAAAAAACAAAAACAAAACCGCCCCATTCCGCAATGGATTCGGATGAAAACTGGTAATAAAATCAGGCATAACTCCAAGAGGAGACATTGGAGAAGAACCAAGCTGGGTCTATAAGGAATTGCACTTGAATGGCGTGCTCATTTCTTCTGTCTCAATGTCACAACGTCACTATCACCACATCAAGCTGAAGATGTCACCATCATCTGGACAGCTGGACATGTTTGATTAGGGCTGTGACCAGTGGGCTGGTTCAGTAATAAATATGTGATCCCTTTTGAAAAAAAAAAAAAAAGGGCAAACTATTTCCTTAGAACTAGGCACTTCAGTATGAGCGTTCTTGTATGAAGAAGAGATTGCCGAGTGATGTGATCACATCAGTCTCACAAACAGAATCACGGAGCCGGATGCACGGGATCTCTGGAGCTGATGTCTGGCGCAGCAGTTAGAGATCTCACTTGAGACGCCTGCATCCCACGTCACGGTGCCTGGGGTGGAGTTCCAGCTCCGCTTCCATTCCAGCTTCTTGCTAACGTGCGCCCTGGGAGGCAGCACGTGATGATGCCGGGGGTTTGTCTCTGCCACCCACATGGGAGAGCTGGGTTGAGCTCCCAGCTCCTGGCTTTGTTCTGTCTCAGCCCTGGCTGCTGTGGGCGTTTTGGGAGTTAGCCAACAGATGGGAGATATCTCTATGCCTGTCTCTGTCTCCCTCTTTATCTCTCTGCCTCCATATAAATAGAAACTAAAATGGGGGAGGAGGATGGACTGGCATTGTGGTGCAGCGGGTTAACTGCCACTTGCGATGCTGGCATCCGATACGGGAATGCTGGGCAAGTGCTTGCTGCTCTGTTTCTGATCCAGCTCCCTGCTAACGTGCCAGGAAAAGCAGTGGAAGGTAGCCCAAGTACTTGGGCCCCTGCCATCCATATGGGAGACCTGGATGGAGTTCCTTGCTCCTGGCTTTGGCCTGATCCAGCCCTAGTGGTTGTGGCCACCTGGGGAGTGAACAGGTGGATGGAAGATTCTAGCTTTGCCTTTCAAATAAATAAATCTCTTAAAAAAAAAAAAAAAAGCACGGAGCAGACCAAGCCGTGGCACTGGAACACTCACCCTGACACCGTGAGCTTCACCTTGACGTGGTAGGACACCAGGATCCCCAGGACGGTCCGGTCTATGCCCTCCTTAATGCTGTCCAGACAGAAAGGGAGAATGTGCGGGGGGACACAGACAGAGGAACACTCTCAGCTCCCTCCAGCACTGTCACGGAGGCATCTCCTCCAGAACTGGTGAGCTCAGCCACGCTGCCGAGCTCTGGAGCTTCACGCGCTCAGCGCGGGGTGGGAGGCTGCTGCCAGATGGGAAGAACCCTTGCATCTCTACCCCCTCCTGCTCCATGTCCCACCTCCACTGATGCCCGCACACCTGGCCGTCTGAGCTCAAACCTCATCCTCCTCGGCTCCTCCCTGTGGCCTGCCTGCCACATCCGCCATCGCCGGCAGCCACGGGAGCATCTCGGTGACTTATCCCCCACGTGCCAGCCCCTTCTCTGAACTCTCCCGCTGCTCTGCCACCTAAAGCTGTCCCAGAGCCACGCTTTGGCAGATAACCTGTGAGCTGGCCTTGGCCTGCCTTTGCTATCTCATACTGATTCTGCCCCAGGAACCCCATGTGCCAACCTTGCCAAACACTAACCTGCTCCACAATGTTCTCCTCTTTGTCTCTTGCCCCTAAGGCCTCAAGTGGAAGCCCCCTCCCCACCTCTGCCTTGTGATGCCTTCCCGGACACCTGCCAGGTAGCACTGGGCCTCGCTTCCCGGGACTCTGTTCACAGACACGGTACACAGAGCCCTGGTTAAAGGGGATCATGATGGACCTTGACTGTCCCCGACGGCTCCATGTGCCCACCACCCAGCACCACGCCCGTGCCAAGTGAGAGCACAGTGAACCACCAGCAGCTCACAGAACCCTGGAGAGCCCTATCAGAGGGCGAAATTGCTTCATGTGGAATTGTGGGCGGTGGCCAAGTGCTTGGCAGACAGAGGTTGTCAGCCAAGGCAGAAGGAGGGGAGCAGGTGTGAGAGCCCACCCTCTCCTGGGGCTGACGCTACCTGTGCTGAATGGGGCCTAACGGCTGGGGACAGGACCTGCTTTGTCATGAGCCTGAGATGCCGAGGGAGTTTGCCCCCCACCCTCCTAGAGTGGGAAACTTGGGGAGGGGCCACCTTTTCTCCACCACTAACTGACCCGGTGACTTTGGGTAAGCCCCTCACTCTGGCTCAACCTCAACTTCCGGATCCATAAGTGAGCATAAACACCCCTCTCTCACAAAGGTGTAGCGGGGGCATAAGCCAGGAAGCACTTCTGCAGCGCCGCGTCGGGATGGTTCCGCCCTGAACAAGCTTATCCCCGAGTCAGCGTCCCTGGCATTCGCTCTCCTCGGCTTCTCAAACGTTGCTTGAGAACCCACCACGATGGCCTGCAGACCGTCCCCAGAAAGTCCTCTGGCTCTCACCTGCTTTCCGTCCCCCACCCTTGGTCTCGCAGAATGTGAGCTACTGAGCTAGGGGTCATCGGAGTCAAACACACCAGACTCAGAGGTGGTCGTCTGGGGCCTTGGAGGGAGCCCTCAGCTCGTCACCAGGGAGAGGGGGACAAGCAGGCTTTGAGCCCGGGTCTCGGCTCCTTCCCTGAACCCTCAGGGTCCCCAACTCTGCCACGTGAACGGGAGCCTAACAGGGTGGCGGGGAACAGCAGCCATGGATGCCCACTTCAGAGCTCCATGGCACGGCCTTTGCCAGCTCTGCTACCGGAACCCAGCCGCAGGTCTGTGTTTATCTTCCCTGGACTAATCTCTGCCCCGCTTCCCCTTCCTGATGGAAACGAATGAATGAAGCCAACTGCATGACCCAGTTTGTGTACGCAGGGCACCATGCCAGCTGTCGATGTGGTAGAAAAGCCGCGGCCAGCGCCTGGGGAGCACGCATGCGTGGCAGGCCCAGCTCCTTGGCCCTTCCACCACATTGTGCGATCGACACTACCATCAGCCCCACTTCGTGGAAGGGAGAACAAAGCTTCCCGGAGCTGCCAGAGGGAAGCCAGCAGAGTGGGGATTGGCACAGGGCAAGGCGGCGTCCAGAGCCCACAGGTGTGACACCTCATCGTTCCAGGGGCGGGAGTGGGGCCCTGCTGGTGTGCCTGTGAGCCCACAGGGTGAGGAGATGAGTGGGGCGGAGCCGGCCAGCCTGGCTGGAGCAGGCCCCCGGCCATCAGTGGCCCGAGGACTCACATGGTGCTGGAGGCGAGGTTGGTGTCCTCGTGCTTGATCTTCCCGTCCAGGGCCAGGCCCCTTCTCTCTCGGTTGTTGGCCAGCAAGGGCACCAGCGTCAGCGTCTTGGTCAGGGCGTTGCTTGGCAGTATTTTGTCTCTGCAGGAAGAAGAACAGACAGGAGACTGATAACCACAAAAGCCGCCGGCGACTCTCTGAGACTTGGTTTGCCGTGGGGCTTTTTCCAAGCTCCGAGTTCCATCCTCGTCTTCCTGGGGAGAGGAATCAGGGGCCTTGGGACCACCTGGAGTGGAGCAGACAGCGTCCGAGGGTCCTCGGGGCAGGCCAGCAGCGTCCTCAGGCCTCTTGGCCTGCTCTGGGTTACTGTATGTCTACAGTGTTCTGTGGCTGAAACCAATCGCGCAAGGCCAGAGGCCACAGCCAGCCTCTGAGACGTCGTGAGCTGCACAGTGGGCTGCAGAGCCTTCTGGTGGGTGCCAGCAACAAGCCCAGGCTGGAGTCTCCAGGGGCTGAACACGGTTGCTCTTGGGGGATCAGAGTGGCCCCCAGGAGGGTGAGTGGAGACCTTCCTGTGTGCACCTCAAAGCGGCACACACTCTCCCCCACATCTCCTCTATCGCCCAGCAGGCTGCGGGTTCCCCAACAACAGAGAGGGGGCAGGGAGCCTGGGCCTTAGTGGGGGTAGGGATGGGCGTGGGCTCCCCCAGGTCTGGCAGCATCTCCAGGGTCAGGAAGCCAGGTCCGACGGAGAGTGGGCCCCCCTATCCATGCACGCACCACGTCAAGGCCAGAGGCTCAGGCCCACCCTCTCAGCCTCGCAGCTCATCCTCGGCCGCACAGCTGCGTGGGCTCTCCCTGCAGAGCCTGTGCGCACCACACCCTGCCTCCTCTGTCCGGGCCAGAAGGTGGGGCGGGCCAGCACACACGGCCGGAGCAGCATCCTGAGCCAGTTCCCGGACAGCGGGAAGCTTGTACTGCCTCCCTGGGGAAGGACTTCCCTCGTGGACCTCCCCAGGCGCCGAAGCAGCTGTGGTTTATCCTGCCTCCAGTGCGTACAGGAAGCTCTTTACAGAGCTTTGCTGGAGCCCAAGGTAGCCCACATCCTCCCATCTGTGCTCTTAACGAGCTGGACTGCGCAGAAGCACTGGCGAAAGCAGACATTGCGTTTAAAGGTGACTGGAGGAGGAAGGGGTCCCTGGAGGTGGGACTGGATTCCGGCCTTTCGTGCAGCAGAGCTCGTCTGAAGAGCGGGCCACGGCCCTGGGACTGGGTGCTGGGTGGCAGCTGGTTTGCAGCAGGCCTTGCCCATCTTGGGAACCGTGGGGTTCTGGGACAACAGGTTGTGCTCTGCAGCCTCCTGAGTGACCTCTAATCTGACATTCCCTAGCATGCTCTGGCCCAGCTCCTAGTCGCCCCTCAAGTCTGGCTGGGGATCGGGGTGGGGGATCTTAGCATGGTTTTCAGTTTCCTGGGAATCATTTGGCCCAAAACACACCCAAGAACTTAAAAGAGGGCCATGTGGAGACAGCATTGTGGAACAGCGGGTTAAGCCGTGACTTGAGATGCCAGTATCCCCTCTTGGCGTGCCAGTTGTTCAATTTTGCTCCATCCTTGTCCATGCACCTGGGAAGGCAGTAGATAATGGTCCACGTGCTTAGGCCCCTGTCACCCATGGAAGGAGACCCAGATGGAGTTCCAGGCTCCTGGCTTCAGCCTGGCTCAGATCTAGCTCAGATCTAGTTATCGTGGCCATCTGGGGAGTGAACCAGTAGATGGAAAATTTCTCTCTCTCTCTCTCTCTCTCTGGTGCTCTGCCTTTCAAATAAGTAAATTTTTTAAAACGGGGGTGGGGGCATATACATGTGCACACGTTGGGGGAAACTCAGCCAGACCACTTGCTCCATCTCGACTGAGGACGTACTCCAAATGCAGCCAGGGCCAGGACCCGCTGGGCTCAAGGACACGCAAAGATGTGCTAAATGGCGATACAGACCCCAGGCCTGGCATTTAGGAGGCGGCCAATGAGCTGTGTCTCATTCCCGCTTCCCTCTGCTGTAGACCTGCATTTCAGCTCAAGGTTATATAATACCATCTCCGTCAAGCAGTCTCTCCTCGCCCTGCCCCACCCTTCCTCTAACCCAGGGTGTCGCTCAGAACATGCCCTCTAGACAGAAAGGAAGGACCTTCCTAAGCAGTTCCCCAGGGGTTACGGCCTAGGTGCCCTCCCCCCAAGCCCGGCCAGTAGATGAATCCAACTTCCTAGCACGGGGAAAGAGGCAGGTTTCTCACGGCTGCACGTGGGAGCCATTGCAGGATTCCTGTTTGTTGTTTTTGATTCTAATGCAGGGAGATAAGTCATTCACAACAAGGGCTAAAAATAGATCTTTCTCATCCGGGAGATGCTGGAATTGAGGAGATCAAAAGATGGGAGCATCGGGGCAGGGCTGACAGTTCCCGGGAGCCCCTGCCAGGGGCACAGGCAGTGCCGGGTTCCTGCCAGCTCGTTCCCGGGACAAGTGGAAAGGCCGAGCTGTTCCCACAGTGACACTTCCATCTGTCTCTCTCCTTTCTGCTGTTCCCGCACAACTCCCAGGAGGTGGGCGGCATGGGGACGCAGCGAATCCGGAGCTGGGACGCTAAATTCTCTGTGGGCCTTGAAGCGAGCGGCGGGAAGGAAGTGGACAGCCAGTGGCTCGCTGGGCGTTCTAGTTCCTTCTTGGGCAAGGAACAAAAGAGGAACCTGACCAGGAAGGCTGGGCTGCACAGGAAATGGACACACCACCACGACTTACTGTGTTTCCTCCATGGCCACGGGCTTGACATAATAATCACTGGAGTACAGGACCACGTTGGCCACTTGTTCCACTGCAAAAGAGGACAAGGGTCGGGTGGTCAGCACCAGGTCCCCCCATGCACACGTTTGGTGCCCTGGCCTTCCAGGACACACGGCTGGGCGCCTCCCTCTGGGGACCATGCTTCCTGGGCTCAGCTTTCTCGGCCCTCAGCTTAGAGCCTGTGGTTTCCAACTCCCGTCCTGGAGCCATTTCTGTTCCCTGGCAACTTGTTCTGTGTCACCTCCTGCCCATGACCCAGTCTCTAAGACAGCAGCCCCCGGGGGAGACCCCGCCTCTCCTCTGAGCCCTGGGTGTGCACGCAGTCTCCTGGCGTCCCAGAACTCTCCAGGGCTCTCTCTCTCTAAACCCAGCCCCTGCCAATGCCCCCGGGGTTCTGTAACAAGCATGAGCCTTCCGGTTCTGCAAGCAGAAAGCAGCCAGAGGCAGCAGAGGAGAGATCCATGGGTGCAGTGTGCCGGGCAGGAAGGCGGGCCCTGGGGCTGGACTCCCTGGGTTCAAATCTCTGCCCTGCCTCCAGCTGTGCCGTGAGGGATCTGGCACCCCCCCCCCCCGCCTCAGTGTCCCCACCGGCAAAGTGAGGGTGAGTGCGGTGAACTCACGGGGGCGGACTTCCCATCTCCTTCACCATCAGGTTGGCGGATCAAAAGGAACAATGTGTCAGGAGTACCTGGCACAGAGCCCAGCCTACAGGAAGCTGAGCGCATTTTGTCTCAGAATATTCAACAGGTTTTTTTTTTGAGGTTCGTGGCTTTGTTGTTTGCATTTGCAAAACGTTGAGAAATTATTTTAAATCAGAATTTCAGAGGATGTTTTCTCAGTGCTGCTGCTATCCCCTCGGAATTTCTGTGTTGAAATCTGAAGCTCCAGGGGCCGGCACTGTGGTGCAGCAGCTCCAGACACCGCTTGCAATGCTGGCATCCCACATCTGAGCACTGGTTCGAGTCCCAGAGGCTCAGCTTCTGATACGGCTTCCTGATAATGTGCCTAGAAAAGCCATGGAAGATGGCTCAAGGGCTTGGGCCCCTGCCGCTCACGTGGAGACCCGGATGTAGTTCCGGGCTCTTGGGTTTCAGCCTGGACCAGCTGCAGCCACTGTAGCCGTTTGGGCAGTAAACCAGCGGATGGAGGCACTCCCTCCCGCTCGCGCCCTCTCCTCCTTCCTTCCCTGCCTCCCTATCACTCTACCTTTCAAATAAATAAATCTTAAAAAAAAAAAAAAAAAACTTTAAAAAGATAAGTGTATTTTGGTGTAAAAAAAACTTGTGAAATCTAAGCATAGTGTTTTCAGCATATGCATTTTCTGTGACCACTTTGGAGACCCCTCATAAGACACTGAGTGTGTTTCCCGTGGTTAGAGCTGACTAGCCAGACCGGGCCCCTTGTAAATAGCGGGCGTCTGTTTGGCTCATGGTCCCGAAGGCTGGGAAGTACAAGGGCAGGGCGCCAGCTTCCAGTGAGGGTCTCCTGGCTGAGCCGTGGCCCGGTGGGGAACATCACCTGGTGAGACAGGAGGTGTGCTGGGCCTCCCTCTTGTAGAGCCACCAATGCCATCCCCCTATCGATCTCAGCTAATCCTAAATACCCTCCAAGA